CCACATTATTTACTTCAAAATGCCTCCAACTGAATAAAATCAATATTAGGAAACTTTTCATAATAACATAAAAGAATCTTTTTAACATCAAAATTATCCCTACTTTCAGCTCTAACTACTCTGCCAATTGCCTACATGGCTCTGATGCTTGTGATAATTCTTGTGTCAACTCAACAGTTTCAGTTTGAATGTTACAATTATGTGCCTTACACAAGTCATGCATTATGCAAGTCAAGGGATTACTGTACAGCTAGAAATACAAATGCATAACACAGAAACAGAAACTTAACTAAATTTACAACAATATAAAAAATTTTAAAATGCTGTCCGAAATGATTCTAAAATGTTACATAGATTAAAAAACTAGTAGAAAGCTGAAGCTCTCCTTTATTGGATTAAAAAGCATTTCACTAATTTTGGTTAAGAATACTGTTAAAAAGAAATTAAAAATTATCCTGATTAATATGACAAAAATAAGATTTACTTATATATACAAATACAATAATGATAATAATAATAATAAATAATGCAAAACAAAAAAGTGTACATACCTGTATAAAAAATAAAATATGAAATTTTGTGGAAAAACAAAACATTTATGCAAAACTGAATCATTTAAATTAAAAACATATATTAAAAAAGCTATAATGCATTGAAGAAAATATTTTAAAACATTGACTAGATATAAGATCTTAAAATATAGGTTGATGTAACAGCTCTGTTTCTAGCTTGTCCATCTGAAGGGTTAATGGAGAAGCAATAAAGGATCAGGTTCTAGTGAATTCCCTCTGCAATTAAGTGCTTAACCATTGAGCTACCTAAAACTACTTATGAGTTTAATTTATACTCAACCATGGGTCTAATTTGATACAGACTAGTTCATCAGACCATGATGTGACAACATTTTCCAACTCCTGCCTACTCCAGGCATCTGTTGCCAAGTAGCTGTTTACAGGGGTTTTATTCAGTGTTAATGAAAAATATTAAATTGCAGTCTTGATCAAACCACATCTACGAAGAAATACTCTACCAGCTGATCTAGCTGGAGCCATTAACCAGCTGTGGACAATTTCCAATTAATCATACACTTTGTATTGATCTAGACTAAGTGATCACAGCAAGTTTATAAGCAGGTGCATCTATCACATATTTTTATGAGAAATACCTAGAATCAAGAATAATTTAGGTGGTTCAGTATCACAATAGACTTACACAGCACAAAGCTCTTCACAATGGCAGTAGACTTAACAATCTTAAAGTGAAAGAAGCAATAAACAGTAAAATACATCACAATAAAACAAACAAGAGGAATTATCAATTATTGTCAAATGAGAGGAATTATCAACAAGCAAGTTTATAATTATTATTCAACCTAACATATACAGTGAATGCTCTCATAAGAACCACCTCTAAAAATGACCAGTATTCAAAGGATATAAATAAATACTGGTTTTATATATCAGCTGTCTGAAATGATTTTCTTTACAGAAGACTAAAATCATCTGGAACTATGGGTGATAATTTTAGAGTTTTACCTTAATTTGATTTGCTGTAATATAAATATGATGAGCATTATTTTAAGAAAAGGCATGAAATTGCTTAGTTTCCAAATAAAAATCTTTAAGGATTTTTCCATCCCTGAAAAAATGTTACAATTCTTCCATTCACAGAATGAAAAATGGAAATTTGAAGAACCTTCCAAAGACATCTTTGTGAGGGTTCCAGAATTTTTTAATGTTTAATTGTGGCTGATTATGTGAAAAGGCGTTCTCCACCCTACTGATCCCTTTCTTGCAAACCATGCCAAGATGTTGTGTTATTGTGATAATATAAGTTGAAATACATCAGCTGGATTCAAGTTACTCTGCACCTTACAGAAAAATTAAAAAAAAAATATTTGATTAATATTTCTTGCAATTTTTCTCAATTTTAAACAAACACTAAAATTTTTATATTATGGTAAACATGCCACACTGAAGTTATACAATAACTTAACATATATTTTGCCATTTTTTGTCACTATGTGTGGACATAACATACATATACAATACATATACACCCAGTTATGTTTTTAGACTTGTTTTTTAAATATGATTTTAATTTGACATACTTCAAGAAAAAGTTCTGAGATTTCCTCTGAACACATTGAGTTATGTAGGATTAGCCTAAGTTTTAGTTGCAATACATATGTATACTTAGGCTTTCATTTCATGTTATAAAGTTCATTATATTTTTTTGATTGGTAACTCGCACTTTTTTCCTATCATCTGATTTATCCAACTACACCTTGAATTTAACTTGAAATAGCCAACTATAATTCAAATATTCTTAAGAGATTTAATTCAAGATTTTGATATAATTTACATAAAAATAACTCAATTATTGAGTTTTCCTACCTCATATATATTGATTCTAAACAGGAAACCTCAGTATAAATTTTTCCTGTGAATGGGATTTCTTACAAAATTTGCATTTTTACTGGACTCAACTACTTGATTTCAGAATACATAGAATAGAAACTATATATTCTGATAACAGTTTAATTGAGCCTTTACAAACTGGGAAAAAATAAAGTTCAAATGATTAAGTTTATGAATGGGATTATATTAGCAAGTTTATTTACAATTGTGCATTCATATTTACTTTACAATTAATTAAAGAAATGTAACATTAACAAGCAATGGTTAACATGACAAGTTATATAGTAAGTAAAATTTATTTCATTCATCTTACCCACACAGGAAATTCATGTAAATGTTTCATCTTGAAATTTCAATTTCTACTTTTTATAGATATTATCATAGGTCTTTTCAATTCTGATTTTTTCTTCATTTCAAAATTAACAATCGTTTTTTTAAATATATAAATATATATATATACATATTTATTTAAAAAAATGATATATATATACATACATACATACATATAAGCTAAAAAATATATAATCAACACAATGGGAAGAAGCTAGAAGCTATTTTGTGGAATGTCTCAGTATAATTTAATGAAATGATTGGCCTTTTTTAATTTTTAATCATAACTGTTTTAACAACTCATAATTATTAGATATTCAGTTCAACAGAAAAGGACAACACATAGGTTATAGAGTTGAGGCAAATAAAAAAATTACAGATGTTAGTTATAAAATAGATACAAATATGTTAATTTTGTAAGCAATAAAAATTTGTTGTTTTAAGTATAACAGTTTCTTGTGCTTTATATGAGTCTTTCCACGATTTTTCAAAAAAATTTTATAAATTTTCCTATAATAATGTTCAGTTTTAAAAATTATCAGTAAGGTACTGAATTTTATGTCCAAAATAATAACTCAATATCTAAAATTACCTTACATGTAAGTATTAAATATTAAGTACAAAATTATGCTACTAAAGACAAGTTAATCATAATAATTAGCCAATTCAGAGTTAATGCTAAATATTAACCATCTGGTCTCAAAACTTGTCACTGTATCATGAACAGAGAACGACATTACATTCAAAATCTAGGTCTGTCCTACACAGCAAATTTCAAATGCAAAAATTCATTACATGTTCTCTAAATTTACCTCTTTAAATTTTTATAATTTCATATTGTGCAGATGTGACTTATCAGTTTCAAACAACTGATTACACAAAGTGTCTCATACAAAATCAAGCATTTGATTAGTTTCATAAAACATGAATTATTTACAAAAACATTCAACATGCTTTGTATTTTTAGTTTTTGTAGATGAGGTGCAGTTCCACTGGATGATTGTGAAAATAGCAAGATTTGGGGTTCAAAACTTCCTACCTGTATTATGAAATATTCCAGCATCCTAGGAAGATTAGTGTCTGGATAAGCATCACTAAACAAGCTATTAGTTATTTTTCTTTGATTTAGCTGGATTATTCAATTATGGAAAGCACAATAGCACGACCTGCCGATAGGATAGGATGTTTTCATACTCAATTTTATTATGAAAACTGACCTGCATTATACAGTCAAAAGTCGTTAATTCGGACACCCATAATCCGGAATGATCTATAATCCGGACCTCAAAGCTACAACCTTTCTGCGCATGCGTCGCGTTGACGCATGCGCGTAAGACCATTACCGCTGCGAATTTGCGTGTGCGCGTGCGCAAAATACGTTTATGAAAGCGCGTTTAATGTATAACGGACGGGATAAGCTAAGCTAAAATTATCTAATTATCTATTTCAGTTAATGTTGCAGATTGCGTTGTTCCTTAATCTTCGAATTGGATCCGGATTATTATTTTTTGCAGACTGTTAGAGCAATTTTATAAAAGTAAGCTTGAACTTTCGATTATGTCAAATAGAATTTTCGATATATATTTACTAATATGTAAAGGATATACAAAGCGAAAGTATCTTTCGGAGCCCATTACACAAAAAGTGGAATTGCTGCAAAAAATGGATAAAGGCATATATTTTGTTTATCTAAACTTTACGCTTGTTTATCTAAACTTTAACGTTTGTTTATCTAAACTTTGTTTATCTTTAACGAGGCGGTGGCGTGCAATGAATTCACTATCCTTATCTTAAGGGCAGATGTTTTTATTTTATTTGGCTTATAATTGCTTACTCAATGTAGTATTTCATCTCGATGTACTCCATCTTTGATATGATTTAAATCAAATGCCTCGCCATTATAAGTCACTTCCGATAGCGAAGAAAGTGACAGAGGTTATTGAAAATGAAAAAATTTCGATTGACAAATTAGTCGGTATTCTCGACATAGCAATTATAGGACGTGAACAGCGGAACTTTGTAACTGAACAAGAAATTATGTCTGTTTATGGAATTAAAGAGAATGTATTATCACATAAAAAACGAATCAACTTAAATAACTTACATTGAAAGAAATGTTTAATAAAGTAAACAAATAAATATTAAGCTTTTTTTTGTAAATTTTGATACCCTTTAGATCATAATTGTTCTTTATTTCGTAAATTACGGTTTTAATTTTATAATTTCTGCATGCCATTTTACCAGATTTAAAGTGATGATCTATAATCCGGAAAAATCGATAATCCGGAATCGCCGGAATTTTTTTAAGTCCCGACGAGTCCGGATTAACGACTTTTGACTGTATTACACATGAGAAAAACCATAAATATTTCCCTCAACTATCCCATTCCATCACTGTAAGAAAATATGAGGCAAATTATTAGACTTTCATAACTTGAATTACACAATTAAGTGATCAATATACATTTTTTTTTGTTTTGTTTTTCTAGTACAATATTGATTTAGAACATAGCTAAATCTTTAAATGCAGTTCATCATAATTTTGAAAAAAGAATAAATGAAACTTTCTAATAATAAATATCCCACATTACAAACTCCTGACCCTAATAGAATTAATGGTCAACATAGGAAAAGTTATGAAAAACATTTAGCTAAAAAAGCAGCAAGAAATGTCACACATTTCGTCATATGGTTCTGTTTATGTATGTTTTCTGATGCCCCTTTTTTAAAAATGTGCTCATTTATTAAGTTTGCATAGCTTTTTATATATGATGCCTATCTGGAAATTTTGTGAAGTTTAAATACTGCTTTCTGACCAATTCTTCAAATATAATTAAGTTTCTTTCATAAAAGCAAGTCAGTGCAGAACATAATGACAAGTCGATCTCAGTCTTTATGTTGTCTAATGCCTTTTTATTTTTCTTTTTAAATGGGCACAATTATTAAGTTTGGATAGTGTCTTACACAGGATGCTTACCTAGAAATTTTATGAACCCTGAGTTCTATTTTCTAATTCTTCAAACATAATTAAGCTTCTTTTGTAAAAGAAAGTAAGCGCAGGCTAGGACGACAAATTGATCACAGTCATTGTGTTCATCATGTTACTCTAACAGTGACAGCATGGATGTAAATTTAATAATTTATGTTTATAAAGCATGAAACAGTAGGTTGTATGGGACACTCTGTATTACCAATAAAAATTATTGTTATTGAAATTAATAAATTGCCTCTAAATGTTATTACACCCTTACAAAATATCTTTTTTAAAGCCATTCTTAATAATCTAATATTACATTTATTAACCTAAAGTTAATAGTAAGTGATGATTAGACATTAATCAATGAAACGAATTATTAAGACAGTTGCAGAAGATAAAATAAAAAACATAAAATACACTTGTGACAAGCCCATCCAATCAATCAAAGCTCCACTCATAGAAGAAAAGATTAATTTTCCAGCAACTTCAACAGATGACAAAACAGAATAATGTGTGGCTTGGAAAGTAGGAGGAGCCTTCAATGAACAAGACATCATCAGAGTGAAAACTGAGGTTGTTACTAAACCAGCAGTGAATTCTAGAGCACAAAGACTTGCTGCACTGAAAACTAAATAAATAAGTAAGTAATATCAATAATAACATTTTATTTATTAAATAAGATTTTAAAATTTCATAATAATTTTAGGAACAAAATTTTAAAAACATATGTCAAAAAAATTTAATGAAATACATGAAAAATTTGAACATAAAGAAATTGAATTATTTTGGAGACATATCATGTTTCTTTGATTTCTAAGATATATTTTTTCTTTATTACATACCCTGTAAGGTATATTTCAATTTTATACAGTTATTTTAAGTTTATGCTTCTTTTCTATAGTATCTAGCTTCAACTTGCAACTCCCTATCAGTATGAGTTTTTAGAATCACATTAAATGGAAATGAGAAGGAGAATAGTATTTAAGTCAAGTTCAACTGACTTCTCCAGAGAGAGTGAGGATTCCTGAGTTGCACATGTTGGCCTTTGAACTACATCTCTCTAAGCTGTTACTAAGCTCGGCCATAATACGTGCCTTTTGATAGTTACCTGGCTAATTTAATATTACTGGTCAACTAGTTTAGAATTATGCTAGCTTTGGCTAAACTCTTTAGTTAGTCATTAGTTAATTCTTATTTCTTATATTTTGAGTTTAAGCCCAAGTGGAAGCTTTGCAGTACACCTTGAGAAAGAAGCCAACTGTTAATGTTACTCTGAGTGAAATAAAGGTTAATTAACCCTTCTTGAGTTTATGTTTCTGCTCTTGGACTTAAACGATTATTCGCTTAGCAGTTCACTAGGTTACTCAACACTTAACAGAATAAAAGTGAGGAACTCTATAACCCATATAGCAGACCTTAATTGCTGTGACATTACAGCGATATCCCAATGTTACATTTTTGTCACATTGCATTTGTGACCACAATATGCCACAGAGATGTCACACTGTGATGTGGATGTGAATGTCGCACAGATGTCACATACATGTCACTGCAAACATTTAACGTGATCACAAGAAATTTCTCAGTCTTCCGCACCCTGACCTTTCTCACAAATTCTTCTTTAATGGGAGGTATTCCTGCACACTGAACTTGATCCCCCCACTCCCTATTCATTGTTAAATGTTTCAATAAACCTTTTGACATAAATAATTTTTTATGCTAACAGCTTACAATTTTAATTATTCATTTTTATTAAAAATATTAATAGTTTATAGTATGTTTTTACTTGGTGTGATACTAAGAAACTGTGGAGCTATATTTTGTGATGAATGCATATACCGTCTACTGTATCTAGTATTATCAAGAGAGACTGATCAAAGAGTTCATACCACTTTTTGTCTCGAGGATTTTTTATGACCATTTTTTCACTTCTGTGTCTTCTGTTAACTGAATATCTTTGTCACTGCTAAACTTTGAAGTGAGCACTATTTATTGTACATTGATGTAAATAAACAGTGTTCACTTCAAAATTTAGCAGTATCAATAATAATTCATGTATAATAATAGAGCAAAATTTAAAAGCTATGAACAAAAAGATATTATGGTTTGACAACTGATTCACTTTCATCTGTATTATCAAGAGTGCAGAAGCATGGGCATTAGCAAAAGTTTTCTCTCATTTTTGTCTAACTGCTTAGAAATTTTAATTTAGGAAATCAGTATTATTTGCTAGATTAATTCAATTTCTATTGCTTTTAATATTAAAAGATAATGTGAAAAAGGAATTTATTTTATGCATTTTACTGCAGTATTTTGCATAGTACTCTGCTATTTTCCAAAATTAATTTCAAAGATTAATTAATTACTTCCATGCATAGAACCTTGCATCATATTACAGATGATGCCATATTTCCATAACCAGGTTCTATGTATATACAATAAAATGTTTAATTATTATAATTTTACAAACTGCACATTACTTTACAATGCTGAACTCCTTCACATTTCCTTTATGTAAATTTCTGAGATTATTTCTAAAATTTATTACATTAGTTATTTCCTTCCCATAAATTATGTCATGCTTTTACATATAAGATATTTAACTTGTGTTGTTACAGTAACCCAGTTTCCTTATTAACAGATTTATGTAGAGAAAAATATTTGTTAATTTAGGTTAGAATATTTGAATATGGCAAAACACACAAGAGTTGCTAATCTAAGAGGAGGAATACCTTCATGGAGGACATTTTAAAGATTTGTTTATTTTATTCGGCTATGTTAAAGCATTTAAGAGCTATCTGCCTAAGAAGAGGAATTTCTAAGGGAAACTGGCTCATATACATTACACATGAGGAAAACCATCAAAATGCCCACGTAGCCAACCTGTTAGCTGGGATTCGAACCCCTGACTAAACTACCAACGTTTAGTGGCTTTACCGCTTTGCCACCAGTGGACTAGACTTTTAAAAGAAAATAGCTCATATTTATACATACATACTGAAATATTGAAACCATGACAACAAACTGTGCAAAAGTATTTCTTGCTTAGAAATTAAAGGAATATAACTAAATTAAATTTTTAAATAGATACATTAATTATTTAAATGATAACACTATAAAAATAAGAAAATTACGTTTCATCTGTACTTGAAGTAAATGTAATATGTGAAGGAAGTTAAACTCTCACGTGTGACAAAAAAGTGTAATATTAATTTGTGTACAAAAGTACAAGTTGTTTCATTTTATAAAGAAATTGAATTTAAAACTGTATATTAACAGAATTCAACTGTAATGAAAATTAGTATAAATAGAAATATAAATTTAAGTCATGCCGACAGACTTTATCCGAAATAATAATTTTATTTTAAATGAATGTATGTCACTTCTACTTCAAGATACTTTATTTTATCATTAGAAATTTAAAAATTACAACTAAACCTTTAATTACGTCTACTTAATTATCTAATCTAATCATATCCAGTTTTACTTTGTTGCATCATTTGCAGAAATGGACAATGGAAAGATATTAATTTCTGAAATAATATTAGATTAGAAAAAAGATTAGGAAAATTAAGAAAATTAAGAAAGAAATCTTTCACAAAGGAATTAAAAAAATTTTATTGTGATAACTTGGAAATTTGCATATTATAAAATACTGGTTTATTAAAATGAAGCCTTTGCCACCATCCAAAAAAAGAAAAACCTATTTTAAGGAAAAATATAACTTCATGGAATTCTTTTTATTGGAACAGACCTCGTGTTTTGTGTCACATTCAAACAAAAAAATAAATTTATATTGGAAATTTGTTTATAGCAGAATCAATCCTGAAGAGTCAGTCAAAGTATTTGAAAACTCAAGATAATTATGATGCCTTTTACCATAAAATAAATATTTCTTTTACATAATAGAAAGAAATAGTAGGTAAAAGAAAAGTTTTATATTTTTGTAATTTTTTTTATTTTAATGAAAGTTGTAAATTTATGTACCCAAGAAATGAAATCATTTTTCGCCAGTAATACAATACAAAATATGCCTTCTTTCTGAGAAAATTATGTAGTAGAATTATGTTTATGTAAATGTAACCAATTTCCATTTTAACTGCTTAATGACAGAATTTATATTAAAAATTATGCCAAAAATCCCTGATTCCTTTAATACCATTTTTATTATCTACAGATATCACTAGATGTAGTTTAAGGAAAAAAAAAATTTGAGGGGAAAAACAAGATATTTATTATGGTTCATGGCATTACCCGAGTTAACTCAGGCTTCAATGAAGCAGCCAAAAAAAAAAAAAAAAAAAATCTAGCCCAAAGTAACACAGAACTGTAGTTTAGGTAATAATAGATAATAAGAGCTAAAGTAAAAATCAAGTACATACATTTTATGATTTATAAATGTCATTGACAGTATGGTACAGTCTGAAACATTGTGTAACACATAGCGGCACATTACAGTCTGGATAATAATACCGCCATTATCACTCGAGGGTAATTACTTCGAGCGGGTAATCACAAAAGCCGCTTGGATCTCTCCCACAGCTAAGAAAACATGTGCATGGCACAGTGTCGATTGCCACTCGATATTACAGGCAATGGCATTAAATATCCGTAAAATTTTCAGTGCTCATGTGTTGCTAACTGCCCATAGAAGATGCTGCACCTTGTCTTTTTTTCAGTAGTGTAGGAATAAACTGTGAACTGTAAGATGTTAGACGTTTGGCTGTATTTTTGATTTAATGTTTCTGCACGTCGTTTCGTAACGTCGAAATAAAAACTTTTTTCTTTTAAGATGTAGAATTTTATTGAACAGATTTCACAAAATAAAAATCAGCAAGCTTAATCTGGGCAAGAAATTTAGGAAGGAACAAAGGTAAATGAGACCTTTTTCCTCAAATTTTAGAACGAGGAATTTTTAAATACTAAGAAATTAAAAGTTTTTAAGAGTTCTCTATACTCATGTTAACTCATTCATAGGAAAATCTATCTCGGGCAGGGTTGTTAAGCAGTTAACCAAAATAAATAAATAAAATGAAGTTTTAATTGCTTAAATTCTAAAATGAAAGACATAAACATGTTTTTGTATTTACTGTGTTAAACATAAATAAAAAAAAAACTAATTTTTATGTTAAAGAAATCATATAATCTATTTCTCTTCAATTAAAAGAATACTAACAAAATGTTTCTTGAATTCTAATTTAGTAATAATATATATCAATGGGTTTTTGCCACTTTATTCTGATTTAAAAAAAAAAAAAATCAAATGAACACTTTAAAGAAAGTCCACTTGTCCAGAATCAGAGATATGCCATCAGATTTTAAAATTTGAAAGAGATCTCTTAATTGTTTCTCCTAAATATTTTTACTATCTTTTAAATCCTTATTAATGCAGTATTTGTGCTCCATTACTGCCAAGTGCCTGAGTTGCCGCAAAATGGCTTGTGTTGTACAGATTCATTTAGATTAAAATTAACAACTTTTTAAAAGTATGCATTGTAAAATGTAATACCTTCATATTATTTAAATCAAAGCAAAAAAAACTGAAATCCTATAAAAGACTTAATTAATTTTTAATAACATATAAATAATAAATAATTCATGTAACTAGAATTTTGGATATCTTATTTT